GCCAAGCCGATTGCGCAGACGGCGCTGCTTGCGCGGCTCGAGCACGCCCCAGTGCAACGCGGTGTACGCTGCGGCCGGAACAACGGTGAAGAGGACGACGAGATCCGATCTGAACTCGCGCGCAAGCAGGATAGGCAGGGCGATCTTTTGGCCGAGGCGGTTGACCTTGATGCGCAGCGTAACGCCGCCGACGGGTAAGGCGCAATTGAGGCCGAGTGCAAGGCGCACGTTTTCCGTCAGCCGACGCTCGGCCGACGTGAATGCCGAGAGGCCCGAGCCAGTGCCGATGTTGAAGCCGCTGCGCAGCTTGACGCCGCCGAGCACGGGCAGTGCATAATCGACCGAGATGTTCTGGTCTACGGGCGAGATGCCCATCTGCGTTGTCCAGCCGCGTCCTTCTCCGATCTGCTTGGTGAGCCCGACGGACACAGCCGCGGGCTCTCGGCGCACGAGCATCTGGCCGGGCACCTCAGCGCCCCAGCCAAGCAGACTGTAGGTGCCGCTGCGCACGGTGGTGAAACCAGTGAGCGTCGACTTGGACGAGAGGCGCTGGCCGTAGGTGATGTTGAAGGTGGGCGGCATGAGCAGCGTCTGCATGGTCGACTGCCACGAGAAGAAGGAGTTGGCGTCGAGGGTGAACTGGCCCTTGGTGGTGATGATCTGCGGGCGAAGGAAGGAGAGGGTGATCTCGGTGAAGAGGCGCGGCGACCAATGCGTCTTGAGCGTGCCGACGAGGTTGCCACCGCCGAGACCATTGCGGCTGACCATCTGGCCGGAAAAGGTGGCCGAGGTGCGATTGGTGACCTGCGTCTCGAAGCCGTGCTTGCCGATGAGCTGGGTGCAGCCGACGCGGCTGATGCGCTCGGCCAGGGTGACGGTGCGTGTGAAGCCGGCGATGCCCAGGCCCGGCATTGCTGCGATACCAGCGTCAGCCGGTGCATCGGGCGCAGCGCCAGGCTGGGAAGCCTTGCCGACCGCTGGCACTCGTGGCTGCGATGGTGGGCGACGCGGGATGCGACTCGAAGGGGCGAAGAGCGCGGTGGCGTCGATGTGTGCGGTAAAGTCGCCTTTGCTCTTGACGAGCGCCTCGGCATCGGCGGCCTGCTTGCGTCTGCGTTCCCTCTCGAATTCGGCCTGCATCTCGTGCGGGCTCCTGCCACGCACGGCGACGGACCAGGACGACTTGAGCCCTTCTTCTCCGAAATAGTCGTAGACCGTGCGCTTCTCTGGATCCGACAGGATCTCATAGGCGCGCTGGACTTCGCGGAAGCGCGACTCGGCGGCGCTCTTTCTGGCGGGGTCGTTGTGCTTGTCCGGATGCAGCACTACGGCGAGTGCGCGGTAGGCATCCTTGATCGCCTCTGCCGACGCATCCGAAGGCACGTTGAGAAGTGCGTAGAGATACTCCTTGTCCGTAGCTCGGCTCGGGTCGCCCGACGTCGCTTCGGCTGCTGCTGAACGGTCATGCGTATCGCGGAAGGGCCGACCGCCAAAGAGCGGCTCTTCATCGCCGCCCTCTCGTGGGTAGGAGCCCTGTGTTCCCGACGACGCAGACCGCTCGTAGATGTCCGAGGCTGTGCTGTTTTGGCCATAGCTGCTGCCCGTATCGGACGTCCGGGACGAGCCAGCTGAGCGGGCATCGTTTGGGTATGCGTGTGTAGAGGAAGATGAAGCAGTTGATCCAGACGAGGTCTGCGAGGTGTTGGAGCTCGAAGCGGCTGCGGATGGTCGTGCGCCTCTCAATCCGCTGGGTCCGCTCCGGCGCGGCTGGTAAGGAGCGTAGGGGTCGTCGGGGTCCTCGGAATCCTCGACCGTGGCTCTTGGTGGTCCGGACGACATGTTGGTGTCTGCAGAGCTGCCAGACCTTCGTGGTTCCAAAACAGAAGAGCGGCGGGAGGTGATCCTGTTCAAAAGGCAGACGGCCAAAGCTCATGCAGCCCGCACCCTTGATCAATCATCCGCTCTGGCCGGCGTTCAGACACTTTTTCGAAAGACGTGGAGGCCGGATGGGCTTGGGCCTCCTGCCTCTTGTCCTTCTCGTCAGCAAGAGCCGGCCAGGGCTGAGCCTTCTTTTTCGCTTTTCCTGCGACACAGAGATGCTCCGGTCTAACAAAGCCCATATTTCTCGGATGTACCGGCTGCCAGGGAAATGCGGATGTGCCTCATGCGGCCAGACGCACAGGAACGCACGTCGGACCTCATCCAACCGCACCCAAGTCAATATTGCTCACTCGCCCTCCGTCACCCAACACTTTTCGCACTCGCTAAAGTCACACTGCGCTCTCCCGCGTTCCTTTTCGAGGACACGTGAACCTACCAACAGCAATTGCACAGCTGACGCGCATACAGCTACAGTACAGCAGCAGCTCTGGATGCAAGCCCCAACGTGACCCCATATCGAACTCCTCGCTCCCCACCCACTCGCACCGAAGCTCCCTTCCTTTGCCGCCATCATCCCCGTGCCCGTCACCAGTAGATCCTCTCCATCACCCTAGACAGCTTCCCGGCGCCATCGACACCATGTCAACGCCGAACAACGGCAAGGGTAGGGCCATCCCCTCCCCGCGTCCCACCGACGACTCGTCCACGCCGATTCGATCGCCCTCCCGCGGCTTCGTCGACAGCCCTTTCGGACATGCTTCCCCGACGCTGCCCAACATTCCGCCGCGCATCGGTTCGCCCTCCAACGAGAACATGAGCCTCTACTCATCCTCGCAGCAGCAACGTCACGACTCATCCGCCTTCCCCAGCTCGTTTCAACGAACCATCTCAATCGAGCCGCCCTCGCGCGATAGCGCATCACTTGCTCCGCCTCCCGCAGACTCGGGCATCTCGACCCCCAGCAACATCGAAAACCTCGATGCGCTCCCCATCTCGGACGAGCGCAAGGCACGCATCATCGAGAGACACCTTGCGCGTCCCGACGCCAATCGCGACTCGCTTTCGGCCACCTCCATCCAGTCCAACGACAACACCGACGACAGCGTTGCCAGCAACGATGCGCGCAGCGCCCACGTCAACTTCCCCGAATCAGGCGACGTCACGGCAGAGTCGCCCTCGGAGATCGTGCTCGAGGACGTCGAAGAGAGCTACCGCGGTCCGCACCAGATGCAGGGCGGTGCCATCACCGACGATGTCTATCGCTGGGCCCACAAGAACCGCCGCGTCTCGACCCGTCGCACTCGCAGCGAAAGCCTCCACATGCCCAGAACAGCCACCATCGATCCCGAGCTCGACGTCCAGGGCATCAAGGAGCCCGGTGGATTCCGACGCTTCTTCGTGATCAACCAGGCCGAGCAGCAGGGCCGAGCGCCGCCTAGAGCGCTCAGAAGCTTCATCGACTTCCTCAGCCTCTACGGTCACTTTGCCGGAGAGTTCCTCGAGGAGGACGATGACGACGACGAAGACGACGAGGATGAGACCGACGACGAAGACGACGACGAAGACGCCGCCCGCGCCATCCCGGGCACCAGCCGCGCGGCCGGCAACGGCGACACGGAGCGATCGGGTCTCCTGCGCGGTCGCAAAGGCCTGAAACGCAGCGACACACAGGCGCGCATGCGCAAAGCCAGCAAGGACCGCCGCCGTGGTGAGGCCACCGTTACGGACGCCGTCATGATGCTGCTCAAGTCGTTCGTCGGCACGGGCGTGCTCTTCCTCGGCAAGGCATTCTACAACGGCGGCCTGCTCTTTTCCACCATCACGCTCTGCTCCGTCGCCATCATCTCGCTCGTCTCCTTCCTGCTGCTCGTCAAGACCAACCTCAACTGCCCCGGCTCGTTCGGTGACATGGGCGGCATCCTCTACGGTCCTCGCATGCGCCTTGCCATTCTCGCCTCGATCGTGCTTTCGCAGCTCGGATTCGTCGCAGCGTACACCGTCTTTGTGGCCCAGAACATGCAGGCCTTTGTGCTGGCCGTGACGCAGTGCAAGACGCTCGTGCCCATCTGGGCGCTCATCTTGGGTCAGATGGCGGTTTTCCTGCCGCTCTCGCTCATCCGCCGCATCGCCAAGCTCTCGACCACCGCGCTCATCGCCGACGTCTTCATCCTGTTCGGCATCGTCTATCTGTTCCAGTACGAGATCGGCAAGGTGTCCAAGGAAGGCTTGGCGGATGTGGTCATGTTCAACTCCAAGGACTTCCCGCTGTTCATCGGCACCGCCGTATTCACCTTCGAGGGCATCGGATTGGTCATCCCGATCACCGAGTCGATGAAGGAGCCCGAGAAGTTCCCGCGCGCACTCACGGGCGTCATGGCGTTTGTCATGGTGCTGTTTGCGTCGGCGGGTGCGCTCTCGTACATGGCATTTGGATCTGCGATCCAGACGGTGGTCATCACCAACCTGCCGCAGACGTCGAGGTTCGTGCAGGCCATGCAGTTCCTGTACAGCATCGCGATCCTGCTGTCGACGCCCCTGCAGCTCTTCCCGGCACTGGCGGTGCTCGAGAAGGGCATCTTCACCAAGAGCGGCAAGTACAACTGGAAGGTCAAGACCGAGAAGAATCTCTTCCGCTTCCTGGTCGTCGCCGTGTGCTGCCTGGCGGCGTGGGCCGGCGCCAACGATCTGGACAAGTTTGTTTCGCTCATCGGTTCGGTGGCGTGCGTGCCGCTGTGTTTCATCTACCCGCCCCTGCTGCATCTCAAGGGCAACGCAACAAGGACCTCCACCAAGGTGCTCAACTATGCCATGCTCTTCTTCGGCATCGTCTGCGTCGTCTTTGCAGGTTCACAGACCATTCGCGCCATGGTCGAGAGCTCGGCACCTGCCAGCCCTCCGCGATGCTCGCCGCGCTAAGCATTCGCTTTCCATCAATCGTTCATCGCCGTTACAACACCAATATCACCATAGACGTGCTCCATGCACCCTGTTTGCTCACTCGAATCCGACCGTATTGCACTTCCACACACGTGTTTCGTGTCGGATGAAACGCCATCTGGCATGAATTGCATTAGAGAAGGCAGGTGATCAGCATGGTCAGCGCAGCCGCTGTGCGATGCTTAGAGCTTGGAGAGGACGGCCTCGGCGGAGGAGGTCTCGACGGCGCCCGGGTTGGGCTCGGGGCTGAAGTCGACCACCTTGAGGTCGTCGACGATGAGGGCGTAGCGGCCGGTGCGCATGCCGAAGCCCATGGCGGAGAGGTCGGCGGTGGAGCCGACGCCCTTGGAGAACTCGAGGCCGAGGTCGGTGGCAAAGATCACCTTGTCCTCGGCCTTGTTCTGCACGCCCCAGGCCGACATGACGAAGGGGTCGTTCTGGGCGAGCACGACGATCTGGTCGACACCCTTGGCCTTGAAGGCATCCACCTGCTTGATGAAGGGAGGGATGTGGTTCACGTGGCAAGTAGCTGCGACATCCAAAACCGGCAATGAGAGTCAGTATGGTCCGAAGCAAGTTCATGAGGAGAACTCGGGGGGAAATGCTTACGGGTGTAGGCGCCGGGGACGGCGATGATGACGACCTTCTTGCCCTTGAAGGCCTCGTGGGTCTGCACCTTGGTGGGAGCGCCGCAGGCAGTGCCGTCGGCGAGCTCCGAGGTGAAGGGCACGTACATGAACGTGGAGTTGGGGATCTGTTCGCCCTTGGAGATGGTCTGTGCGGCGGTTGCCAGTCCGCGCACAAGCGTCGGCGACGATTTCACGCAGGAGGAGCCAAGCGCAGGAGCACAAGGGCCGAGAGCATTGCGTGCAAAGGCGTTGCGCAGAGTGGCAGCGTTGGAAGTGGTGGTGGTGGCAGAGAAGGGCGAGGAGGCAGAGGAGATGAGTCTCCTGGACGCTGGAAGCACGATGGGCTGCACCGCCGGCCGCGCAAGCGAACCCGCAGTGCGCAGGACCGGAGCCATGACGAGCTTGCTTACCATTTTGGAATTGGTCGAGCTGGGTGGATTAGCAAGATGCAAAAGGTATGAATGGTGGGAGAAAGAAGGATTGCGATTACGGATTTATATTTGGTTGGGTGCCGCGGGGCAAAGGCGAGAGTGAGAGTCTTCGAAAACAAGGTGTGGATCGAAAGGCCGATGGCTTGCCGAAAGAGAGAGCCCAGTGCATCGGCGAATCCGCGTCCGTGCGCGGCTTGACTTTCCGCGCTCTTCCACTGCGACCCTTCCAGACCTCCACGACGGACATCCGGATTTACGCATTTGCGGCAGGCCGGCGCGATCTCCCATCGACCAGATCGGCGCAGCGAAAGGACAATCGTCCGATTGAAATTTGGAGCCCCCCCACTTGCAGCAAGCAGAGCGCGTTGGCGGTGGAAGTCGAGACCAACACTTGGCGCGCTCGACCCGCCCTCGGTCGCGTGTCTACGAAGTCAACGCCATCAGCCACGCCCTCGAAGGCACACAAGATATGGCACCACTCGCTAAGCGGCCACGAAGGTCCGACGACGTCGATGCATCGAGCGGAGTGTACTACGACAACGTGCCAGGCACCTCGATGACGCGTGCCTCGGCGGGACCTGCATCGTCCATCGCCGCACCACAGCATCCGGCCTACTTTCCGGCACACGGACCCAATGGCGTTTCGTACACCAGCATGGGTGCTCCGGTCAGTCCTTTGCTGGCGTCTGAGCCTGGCGGCCGATCGCTCGCGCCGCCAACAGCGTCGTCCATGCCGCACGGCCTCAGCCAGATGCACAGCTCGGGAACCGAAGACAACGAGGACATGGCGCCACCCAAGAGCAGCTCAGCTCAGGGCACACGTGGGCGTGGTCGCGGACGTGGTCGTGCACGAGGTCGAGGTCGCGGTCGAGGTACTGCCCGTGCCGCTGTAGATCATGCCGACGTCTCGCAGTCGTACAGCGACGCGCATGCCTTTGCCCCGAGCACCCACGATGCGATGCTCGAAGACGACGCCGAGCCCGTCGCCGAGCCTTTGGTGTTCCAGTGTCGTCAGTGCTTCCGACTTTTGGGCGACTCGTTCGCATTCGTGGCGACCGACACCGAGCTGGGCTACGTCGTCCTCTCCGACGTCTCGGATGTCGTCTCCCAGGACACCACCTTTCAGACCTCGACCCAACCAGGCAAGGACATGGGCGCCACCTTTGCGCTCCTGCGCTGTGGAGGCTGCAAAGCCACCGTCGGTCGCACCTACCGAACCACGCCACGGCACTTGGACGACCTGCGCGACTGCGCCAGCCTCGATGTGGACGCGGTCACAACATACCGCCTCGGGTCGAACGCCACGCTTCAGCTGGAAGAACCACCAAGCCCTGCGAGGGGGGAAGACGAGGTAGGAAGCACGACAGTGAGTGGAGACAAGGCGTTGGAGCAAAAGATGGAGCGCACGCGCGCACTCACGATTGAGCTCAGCGACCGGCTTATCAAAGCCGAGGCGGATATTCGCAGATACAGCAATCTCGTCGACCAGTTGCTCGCGGCGCGGGATGCGCGGCTCCCATCCACCCAGCCCGCAGAAGCAGAAGCAGAGGCACGAGTCGAAGCGCCACCGCCACCGCAGGACGCAGCGGCAGAAGTGCGAGAGCCCACCGCCACCCCGCCTCGCGTCCGCACCGCCGAGGCCGAGGCCGAAAACGAGGCGCCGCCGTCTCAATCACCCCTCAAGCCCAAGCAAGAGCCCGACACATCCAGACGCAAGTCGCTGCCTCCGCCGGCTCGTGCCACGCGCAGCTCCCGCGCTTCCAACCTCGTCGTTCTGGTAGACAGCGCCAACAACACGTCATTATCCTGATTTGCTGCTGCTAGATTGGAATCGTAGGTCGTAGGTCCTCACGAAACTCGTTTGCTTTCACTGAGGAAAGTTTGGTGCCTGAGGAGATGGTTATTGTTGCCTGTGCGTGTTCTCGGATGGAACGGAACTAAGCAACGCGTGCGAGATAGGTGTCGTATAGTGCGGTTACGAATGCCGGATCGGTCTAGTGCAAGAACAAACAAAAGGACACGTCAGCCACCATGAGCCAGTCAAAAGTACGCGCAGTGTCCGGGAAAGCTGGCAACTTACGTGGATGATGCTGAGGAGTTCAGTGACGAATTCGCGGCGCGAGAGCGGCTTACCGTCGTCGCCGAGCGCGATGCGCTGCAGAATGATCTGCTCGATCAGCGCCGACATGCTCGTCTTGTCCTGCGTCGAAGCACCGTTGCTCTGTGGCGCAGTCGCGGGACCTGCTGCTGTCGAAGCCGGCGTCGGTTTTGGAGCTTCCTTTGCGTTCGAAAGTGCAGCTGCCGCGGGCGCAGCATCAAGCGAGACTGCGGATGCAAACATCGAGTCGAGCAACGAGCTTCGCTCCGCTGATGTCTTCTGCTGTCCCTGCCCCTCCTCCACCTGTTTCGCCTCTTGCGGCGCTGCCGCTGCTGGTGCACCGCCGAACAAGTCGTCGAGGCTGATCTGCGTCGTCTGCTCTGGCTCCGGCTCCGGCTCTGCCTCCGGCTCCGGCTCTGCCTCGACTTCGACCTCCTTGCGCTCGCTGTTCTTGTCCTTGTCCTTGGCGTTTTTCTTCTTCGCCTTCTTCTTGTCTGCCTGTGCGGCCTGTTGTGCATCCTTCTTCTCCTTCTTGTCCGTCTTCTCCTTTGTGCTCGTCTCGAGCGCGACGGTAGAGCTAGACGCTGCCACCGCCGCCTCGATCTGCGCCTGCGACGGTGGCTCGGTCATCTGCTGAAGCTTGAGCAGCTTGTCACCCACCGCCATGCGCTGGCCCGGCTCGAACACCCAGATGCCGTACACCTCGTTGTCGCCATTCGTCTCGGGTCGGTAAATGATGAACTCGGGCGTGATCTCCAGATCGTCCTCCTGCGTCACGTCCGCACTGAAGTTCTCCACGCCGTTGCGATTCATGAGGAAGAAGCCGTTGTACGGCGGTAGACGACGGCGGAAGAGGAAAAGCGGGCCTTCAACGCCGGTCTTGGTCCATTCGCCTCCATTATAGTTGTAGAGCACAACAAACGAGGCCGTTTCGACGATCTCGACGATCGATGCATCGTGCCGCCGAAGCACTTTGAGGTTGAACGAGGTGCGCGCCTCGGGTATTGACGCCATCGTGAGTGTGGTATGAATGTGGTGAGAGCGCGATTCGAAGTGAGAGCGCGGTGTGGCGTTCTGTACGAGATGGATGGTAGTCGAAAGGCTCGTTGGATGTGCGCATTTGGCTCGTGCGATGACCGCCGCTTTTCTCACCTGAAAGTGTGGAGTGCATTCAAAGTCGCGGCGCGTTCAGCCGACCTCCACCACACCCAACACCGCGCCCTCATAACCTTGCGCCTCCCTCTGCACTCGGCTCATTTCATACACCTCAATGCCGGGCGCCAGGAATCTATGCGCTGGGATGGATTATCAAGACGTCTTTGTGCATGCACAACAGATACACTGCGCCTACAGGTCGAGCTTCATGTCGCCCAGATCCGAAAACGACGCAGTCGTGTGGTGCTCTTCGCTGTTGACGAGCTGCATGGGCGACTGCGCCTCGGACGGCTGCAGTTCGGGCCAGCTGCCCTCCTGCACGCGACCTCTGCCCACCTTGTGTCGCGAACGGCCGCGCCAGTGCTCCTCGTGAGTGTCGTGCGCCAAGCGCGAGCTGCGTCCGCGCGAGCTGAGCTCCTTGTCCTCCTCGCCGCTCTCGTGCTCCTCCTCCTCGATCGGATCCACGGACGAGCGGCGCGGCAGACCAGTGCGCTGATCGAACCCTTCCAGCCATGCCGCCAGTGCCGGCGTGCCTGCCGATGCCTCGTGCGACCCCGAGTTCGAGTGCGGCATCGCCAGGCTGTTTGGCTGCATTCGCATCGGCCGCTGCGCGTTCGACTGCGTCTGCGAAGGCTGCGTGTCCATCGGCATGCCTAGACTGAGCAGGTTCATCGCGCTAAAGTCCTGCGACACCGCCTGCTGGTGATGGTGCTGCTGCTGCTGCTGCTGTTGT